AAAATCAATAAGATACCACAACCACATACAATGTACTTGATTCCGAGATTTGTCGGGCATCAATTTCCCTCCAATGAGTTGTAGAATATATGCCCAAAAAAAATACTTTTGCGTTGTCCTCCGAACAATTTTCGAACAACTCTTTAAATTCACTTTTCAACCACAGTAATCTTATTCGATCACCGTTAAAACTGGGCGGCATCTTCCCAAGATACTCCATGCATAGACCCCCCCCAATCATCATCTGCCACACCACATATGACAGTTCTATCTACTGGTAGCCCAAGTAAATATCCTTCAGTGTAATCATGCACTCCCCATATGGTCGATGGAACTTGTGACTCTGGCCTCCATCTCTCAATGAGTGCAGAAATCAGGGCGGGTTCAAGTTTACAACCTCCTTAAACTTTTTCTAAGTAATCGTATCCAGCCATAGACAAATATGGCCAGATATGCCTCGGTGTTGTCATCTTCTAATTGCAAATAAAAACTTCTAATTTACGATCATTTTTCTAACAAATAAATTCTAAGCATTAAAATCTGAAGTACTATTTATGAGTTCTTTAAATAAATTCTAACAATTTAAATCATATATAATTGATTCCATAATATTCGTAAATTTAGAAAGAATATAATTTTGTATTCTTATCGTATCTACAAAATGACTCGAAATATGTTCAACATCTAATCGTAACAACGCTCCTATTTTTTTTTACTTGTAATTAAAAATATTAATTAAATTAGTTTAAAATAAATAAAAAATTAAAATAATAATAAAATTACTAAAAACTAAATAATTATATAAACAATTATAACTTGTTTATATATATAATATATTGAAAGAAAATAGAATTTATGTGTGCTTTTTTTAGCTGGTAATGGGATTTATATAGAGAATGGGTTGAGGCGGGAGAAATCGGGCGAGAAGGCACACCCTAGGGGTAGCGTCTGTCAGAAAATTAAGGGGAATGCGAGCTCCGTAGGATGCGCCTTCCAGGGGATAGTCAATCCAAGCGGTTTTACAGGAAGGCACGTTTCATTGAGTGCGCCTTACTATTTTCCCTGATAATGCGCGTTTTGTTAAATGCGCCTCATTCTCTCAAGTGTTAGATCGGAAAATTTTTTTGACTCGATGACTGATAGGTAATATTTTATTTCAAAAGTAATTTTTTTTCAAAAAACCGGAAGTTGAGGTATGCGGCCTATTTGATGGCGTAATACGACAAAAAAATACGCAGGTGGTGAGCTACAAATAGATTGTCCATGTTTGATGAATCGATCACATCGAAAAGATATATTTTTGGTTATTGATAGCAGATTTCAAGACCATGTCTGGCCCAAATACAAAAGAAAGGCCGGTTCAAGACCATGTTTGATGAATTGATCACATCGAAAAGATATATATTTGGTTATTGATAGCAGACTTCAAGACCATGTCTGGCACAAAGACAAAAGAAAGGCCGGTTCAACCAGGATTTGCTTCATCAACTCTCTTCATTTTATATATTAGCTCCATTAGGTCATCACTGAAATATCAATAACACAAGCCCCTTGTTATTTCTTTATTCTCCTTTTCTCTTATTCTTTCCTTCATCTAATAGTCCATATCTTCGTTCCCTAAAAAAGAGAAACAAAATTAAATTGAGTCTCACCGTGAATCCCTCTATGATCCAACTTCCTTGATGAGTCATGAACTGTTTTCCTACTTAACTATTTTAGTTAAGGGATCAACAAAATTCTTCTCAAGACATCTTGAACTCCATATTTCATACTCATATTTAATTCGATTGTACATTCTCTTATCAATATGGACTTTTTTTTTAACACAGTTTATAGCTTGAATCCTTAAAAACACAATGACTGTAGTTTTCTTTACCCCATAAGAAATCTGAATAAATAAATCTACCATTCTCCATATTTTCTCTGTCTTTTATCTATTTTTTTATGCTGAAGTGAGAGAAATTTTTTACATGAATCACATCAAAACTAATTTTTTTTATGTAAAAGGATTAACTTTTATCTTCTTCTTCTTTTTTATTGGTTGCTCTTCCGATTCTCAAAGCTTCGCCTGACCTAATCCATATCGACCCGGGTAGTACACCTAGTTTAGGCGGGTAAGTCTCCCAACGAAGATTTTCTGCATACACAAGGACTAGAACTCGATACATATTTAAATAATTCAAGCTGCTTACCGCTTAAATCAACCCGTTTGTATTTTTATCTTTGATTAAACAAATAAAATTTAAAGGATAAAACACTTTAGCCTCGTGAAATCACATAAGACTATCTAATTCATGCATGCAAATCAAGAATTCACATATTGCACGCGATCAAAATTCATAAATGATTTTAAATATTTACAGTTTTTAATATTTTTAAGATAGAAACAATTATTTCTTAAACACAAAGTACCTTTATTAATATCATATAAAATATATAAAAAAATTCTCTCAATTTTACTCAAATATATTAGAGTGGACTAGTTAATTGTTAACGTTAAAGAAAAAACACTTAATATCAATATAGACATAAAATGACTTAAGATTATTATCTATTGTATTTAATAGCACTATTCTCTATTAACTACTCTCTCACAATTAGGGATGGGCACGGGTCGGGTTTGGGTTCGGCCAACCTGACCCGAAAATTTCACACCCTCCACTCTATCCGATCCGACCCAAAAATATATGCCCTCCACCCGGCCTCACTTTTCGATATTAAATCTGAATTCGACCCGACCTGAAATAATTAAAAATACTATTTTTTATTCAATAAAAATAAGGATTTAACTGGAAAAAAATATATAGAGGGGGTATCATTGTAATTATCCTTAAATATATAAGGTAAAATTATATTTTTTTCGAGTCAGGTCGGGTACTTTTCACTCTAAATCCGAACCTGACCTGACCCCTAATTTTTTTAAAAGATTTGGTCGGTCGGAACCTGTCGGGTTCAAGTCTCATAACCATCCCTACTCACAATTCACAAATAAAAAAATGACTTAAAATTCATCATAGTAATTATTATATATTATGACCAAATTAATATTATGCTTTACCAGATAATCAAACTTAATTCTTAATCTCTAGAGATCTAATTTTTCATGGCAATTGTAAATTAAAATAGTAAGCATAGTTACGAATAATGTATCATGTAAATTTTCATGAAAGAGATATGTACAAGATACACACAAATACTAAATCTTTCATGAAATAAATGTTAAACATACACTTTCAAATCAACCATTTAGGAATTTTCTTCTTTCTTATTATTAGCTTGTAACAAATTATGCTTCAATACTTTTTAACTCAAATAGTATTTTTAAAAGCATACACACTTTAAGCTCAATCATTAATTTAGTAATTCTACATTGCCCTAGTTTAATCTAATTATTCTCCCTTTGTAGAAGATTAGTCTTTAAGGCTCAACAATTTATAAACAATGTACAATAAAACATGAATTAAATAGTAATAAGTTAAATTTAATCTAATTTTATAGGTGAAGATATAAGATCTAGGCATACTTGTTCATTTTTTATGCGTTGGATAGTTCAAATTCTCTTAACATCATTTTTCATCAGAATGATCTTAAAATTTATTACGAGAATTGTATCAACAACAATATTAATAAAGACAAGTAAGAATATACACTTTTCTGTTTACTGGTATATACATATCCTGCTCTTAACTCGCAAATCTTAATTCTCAGATCAGTAAATTCGATTTCTGATGTCCATATTTTTAAACCTTTCAAGGGAATAATTGTTGTAACCTTAACAGCAACACTTAGCTGTTCGAGACCACACGTGAAATCGGTTCAAGCTGGTGCCATGCTCCATCCAAGCTTCACTTAGCTGTTCTATATTCGGGTATTACCTTGGCATCAATAGGAGGCCTGGGAGTGGTTCGTTTTAGTCAAAACATAAACATTCTAACCTTGACTGACACTAACTTCATGCAAACCATTACTGTCACCATGTGGACGAATATCAGATATGACTTATGAGCATCGAGGAGAAAGTTCTGCCTCTATCAGTAGACGAATCCGACCTGAAGCGACTAGCGATTCTAAGTCCATTATTCTGCATCTTCCATTATACTTTGGTTCATGGCCTGTAAATGTCCATAGCTTAGTAAAAACGAATATATCCAACGTAAATAGAAAGGTCAATCATAGCTAAAGTAAGACCAACACTGAATGATAAGCTAAAACATGTTCAATCATAATTTATAATGAAATTAAGGTTAAAATTTTGGTTATAAAATTGGTTTTCTGGTGTCAAAATTTGTGGTTGGATGGCTGTTGTAATGAGGACGTTTTTCTTCTCCATGCATTACGCATGGGAAGCGTGCGTTACTACCCAACAAAATCAAAGAAAAAAATCTGTAGTTGTGCTTGCATTGAGAGTCGAAAATGAGACTTCTTGCTTACTAATCAGGTTTTCTAACAAACAGAGCTACGAAAGCTTGCTACATAAATTGCTTTAAACAAATTATTTATGATCTCAATAACACCATACGCCTACTGAACGGGAGCCAACCGGGAACGAAATCTTGGTTCTTGTGGCTTAGATTAACATTATTTTGGTGAACTACTTACGAAAGCGTGGGTTTGATTAATATATTTGCATCAATAACTTATGATCTGAATAATTAAAATTCAACTGGAACTGCTGAAAAGGGAGCAACTCTCACTACATAAATCAACACGAGAGAAATCCATGGCAGGAGCGTGTTCTAAGATATTTGCATATTCATTTCGTGTCTAATTACACCCATCAACCACTGCTAATTGCTAATGAACGAAGTAACTACATACTTGAAGCTGGGTGCATGAAAGAAGAAACCGAAAAATCCTTTTAATCTTGATGCTATTTTAACTAGTCAGGGTTATCAACATACTCGTACTCTAAAGATCTACAAGAGAAAGTATCAACTCTGCTTCTCTTCCCCCTTTCATGTATCAAGCAAAACACACAGAACCATATCCTTCCTACCATATCATTTGTCATCCCAGCCAACGATCTGCTGCTTAAGTTCTTCGATTTTAGAAGCCAACTCCTCCCTGTTTTTCTGCAAAATACCAGTGAATGCGGGATTAATACCTTCCTTTATGGCATGCAATGATTAATTTAGAACCTTGATTGTTTAAAAGCCAGGCTGCACTTACCTTGAATATCATGTTAGAATTCAAATCTAATTTTACTACTTATGCTGGCAAGGCATGGATAATTCTAGAAGATTCTTGATTAATGAAGCATGATCTTGAATTACTTAAGAACTAAGCATGGAAAATAAACATGTGACAATTGATGATTGAAGAGAATTTCATTAAGACAATGAACTTCATCTGGCAATACAATAAGAATTTAGAAATGCCTAGATCTTTCATTAAGGAGGTTAATTACCCTTATAAATATATGTCTTTAGCATTAATATAAATGTATGCAAAGTGAAAGAGAAGGAATATGAGGAAAAGCTTAGAAAAGCAAGAATGAGAGATAGCTTAGAAAAGCTATGAGAGAATTGAGTAAAGCTATTAGAGAGAAGGTAAAGCTTAGCAAAGCATAGAATATCGAAGTTGTGTTTGTAAACTAGCAGGAGCTAGTGTTATAAAATAGTGAGGTTGTGCTTGTAAACTAGCCGCAGCTAGTGTTATAGTGTTGTAGTATTGTAATGTTGTAATATTAAGGTAACGTTGTTGTAACGCATTTTGTTTCATATCAATAATAATTTCGAGTTGTAAAATTATTGAGTGCCCACCTACGCTTCCAACATATCAGATATCGGGAGGTGAACCAGAACGTGTAGCCAAGACCCGCAACTTCTATGAATTTAGGGAACTGAATTTTATGATCACAATCGTTAGCGAAAAGGAATATGAAATGCTTTATTCATATGGTCCAAAGAAACTCGGAATTCAGATTTAAAACGCACCAACGGAATTGAATCAATAGCACCGACAAGAGCAGATGCTAGCCACAAAGCAACCAAGGCACCACTTCCATATAATATGATTGAAAATGCATCTTCATTGTCAAGCTGCAAATGTTTAGTGATCCAATCGTCAGAATTGATTAAGAGACCATGAGAAATGAATAGTACTGTAAAAAAGAAGCAAACTACAAAACGAAACTCTCAAAGTATGATGAATTGAATGTGAGCAAAGTTACAAAACTGTTTGAAATCGAATCATTTTTATACCAACTATAGAAACAGGGATAAAAGAAGGACAAACAAGACAAAATGATCAGCCAAAATCATGGGGAAAGCGATCGATAAGAATTAAACAAAGAAAATGAATTTAAACAAATTTAGTTGCTCTGGTAACCGCTCAGATCGACATGATAGTCGATGATTCATAAAATTTTCATAAATTGTACTAATCATCATAGCAATCAAATTACAAATTCATAAAAGTTGTGAAACCCCCTAAAATGGAGCTAAATGATAGAAGTGTGAAAAATGCTTCAAAGCTCTAAGGTGAAAACACAATATATCATTTCAGGACAGAATATATGTGCAAAGGGAATATGACCCTCTAAGGATCTTAATATAGAAAAATAAAACAAAAGCATATCCTAAACTCGCAAATAAGTCCAAAATCCAAATAACAATGAGTGAGAGTGTTGAAACGCTAATAGATTGAAAAATTTTCTATTCCATAATGAATATCAGTATTTCAACTGGTCCTTCTATATACAAAAAATCTTCTAACCATCTAACTGAATATCTAACTAATTACAAACTAACTCTCAACACTCCCCCTCAAGTGTTGAGGGTTTAATGTCTTTAACCCCCAACTAGTTCATCAGGTAGTGGTGCTGTTGGACTCCCAAGGCTTTTGTTAAGATGTTAGCCAGCTGTTCTGCTGAAACAATATGAGCAGTCTGCAGCAGCCCTTCTTGTATCTTATCTCTCACGAAGTTGCAGTCGATCTCTATATGTTTTGTACAATCATGAAAAACCGGATTTGCAGCTATTTGTATCGCAGCCTTACTGTCTCAAAAGATCGTCACTGGTGTTTTGGTTTTACCTTCTAATTCTGCCAGCAGCCCTTTTAACCATATAATTTATGCTGTTGTAGCTAAACTTCTATACTCCGCTTTAGCAGATGATCGAGCAACCGTGTTCCAATTGTTTTCTCATTTCCAAAAAAATATTTTATATGTTCTTTTTGTACTTTACATTTTAATAGTATTATTATGTTCAAAATAAAACGATAAAAGTGGCTTCGTATGGGGAGTATTGATCCAATTGCTGAGATGGCTCACTTTGTTTTGTCTCAACTTCTCTTCTTAAATTTTATTGTAATTTATTAATTTTATACATTGATATAAAAGTCTATGTTCGTTTCTAAATAAAAGTATTCTCAGGTATTACGTAATTTACTTGGAAATAAATCCACTACATATTTCAGCTTCGTATTTTTTTTTCAATTTAAAACTTTGGAAATTGGTTTTAATTTATTAGGTAAACAAAGGTAATGAAAAATAGAAACTATTAAAGTATAATATTTTTCATCGATTACTTAGATCTTAGAATCCAACTCATGTTAATAAATTGACCAGAGGTTGATTATAATATGAATTTTTAAAATTATAGTTGAAAATTTAAAATTATAGGGATTTTGGGTGTATTTTTTTGTTAAATTTAATAATAAAAAAGTTAAATGGTTTTTAGAGACAATTTGTCATTTTCAGATAATAGTATTTTTTATTAATTCAACATGTTTTTTTATCATGTATTATAATATTTTATTTACAATATATATATATATATATATATATATATATATATATATATATATAAGATTTTAATGGTTGAAGGAAAATATAATGAAATTAACCCAATAATTCTCTTCTTCTTATTCTTCTTTTTCCATTTTGTGAATGATAAACATGTTGAGAGAACAAAAGGCAAAGGACATGAGTGGAGAAACCAGCTATAAAGCTCACATCCAAACCCATTTGTTTGGTCTTATTCAAAACTCTTGCTTCAACACAGAGTTTGTAGTTTTACATATGATAAATAGGGATGGGCATGAGATTCAAACCCGACCGGGTCAGGTTTTTAAAAAAAAAAATATATTCGGGTTAGATCGGGCCTAATTTTTTAAAGGTGATGTTCGAGTCGGGTTCGTGTTTAGGGTGAAAAAATTCAACCGGACCCGATCTAAAAAATATAATTTTATCTTATATATTTAGGGATAATTATAATAATACTCCTCTATATATTATTTTTTCAATTAAATATATATTTTTATTGAATAAAAATAATATTTTATTATTATTTCGTGTCGGGTCGGGTCAGGTCGGATTTTATCTCAAAAAATCGAGTCGGATTCAGGTCGGGTGAAGGGTGTAAAATTTTTGGGTTGGCCGAAACCCGAGCCAAATCCGACCCCGTGCCATCCCTAAATTGATAAAACAAATTGATTAATTAATAAAAACTATAATATGGTATGCTTAAATATAATTAATAAGAAATGTAATACGTATACATCTATTTATATTTATGATTGAAAGTATTACACATTTAGAAAAATTATGTTATACTTATATTTCTAAGGTTGATTTAAAGATGTGAATAGTAATAATAATAATAATAATAATAATTGAAAACTCGTTATAAATAAAACTCATTTCGTTTAATGTTTAATAAACGTTAAAATTATTTGGACAATATGGAAAATAAAAAGAATAGTATACGGAGGAAGTCCATCTGGTCACTTCATGAAGTCGGTCAAATGTAAGGTGTCTTTCGCATAGCGCCTGAGCCGTAGAGCAACAAGAGACATGCAAAGTGGCCCTATCGGCTTCTCTCTTGCACTGTTCATTTTATTTTTTCAATATCCCTATGAATTATTATTTTTCAAACCATTATCTCATCATGTTTTCCTTTGATAAATAATAATCTGAACAATAATTGTTTGAAGCAAGTGTGTATATATAACTATTTCATATTTTTAAATTATATTTTCAACCCAACTTAATTTTCGATTTAATTTTAATTCAAAACATGACAAAGCAAATAAAATCCAAGTGAGCATCCAAAACCATTAAGGGAATGTTGTTTGTGTTTTGATCGTACGGACATTACTTATTCGTCCATATATATATATATATACTTCAAAAATAATATATTTGGCCAGAGAAGCAAAGTTAATCGCAAATAAAATATAAATGTCAGCCCAATTATTTGGAAATGATTCCATCACTTTAGTGTTCTTAATGTGAATTCTTGCGAATGACAGGAGAGCATTTTCTATTTCTTTTAAAATATTATAATATTTTATTTCAATGTATTAAAATAATATATATCCTTTATTTTTTATTGTTGTGAATAATATTATAATTAACTTTATAACCCATTTTTTTCTATTTAAATATGTTAAAAGAATGCCATTCACGTAAAGATATATAAAAAAGTGTATATATGTATACGCACACACATGATTTCATTCTTTTTTGGATGGAAAAGCCTAATTTGACGCCTTTTTCTTATTTTATTTTATTCATAAAATATACTAAAAGTCTTACTATTAGATTTGGCGAGTGCAGTACACATGTACTTGAGGAATCCCCCCCCCCAATCTTCGACTGGCTAGGTAGTTTGTTTAACTTCATTAATTCAACTCATCTATTGATAATTTTTTTCCAAAACACATTGAAATTCTAACAGAAACTAAGATAATATAAATATTTTTGACCTTTCAGTTTCGTTTTAATTATTCTCTCATAAAAAGTTTCAATTATAAAATTAAACTTTTTGAATTGTTTCTTTTCATCATTAGAACATTAACGATAAGATGTTATGATATTTTAATATGGACGTGGAAGTTCATTCTTTTTTATTTATGTTCGTGATGACTTGAATTTTACTTTGTTTTTCACTTCATCAAAAATTAAGGGTTTTTTTCTCATTTTCAATCGCCGTAGAAAATGTTGTTCTTCAGCGAAGGGAGAGTTGGTGTTTATTCGAAAATTCAGTGAAAAACATTTTTCTTAAAAGAATAATAACATATATCGAAGTTAACCTCATTGTACGATCAAAATATTCAAAGATTAAAGTTTTAGATGGATTTTTATTGATTTAAAATTTATCAAAAAAAAATCTTATGATGTGTTATATTAAAAAATCTAAAATTAATGAGAAAATTCATTTACTAATAGAAATGAAAATTATAAAAATCAGATTACAAAAAGTTACCAAATTGACTAAAGTGGTTTTATAAAAAATAAAAATAAAAAATCGCATCTCCTATATAACCCTCGACTATCTCCAACAACCCACAAGCCAAGCTTCCCATATTTTAACGTTAGGCAAATCAACATGTCCTGCCCAACAATTGCGTCCACCGCAACCCACTTAACAAACGGCGGCGTTACCTCAGTTGACTGCCAGAAACAAGTCCGATCATGGCGGCTCCTCCGTTCCATCATGGCACTCCTTATGCCCACCTGCAACCGAGCCATCATCCAAAACCCACAAACCAAACACCACCGTCTTTACACTTCAAATTCTAGTGTTATCACAGGCACCATCTTCGGTTACAGGAGGGGAAAAGTCCGGTTCTGCATCCAAACAAACTCCAAGTCCTCCGACCCGATTCTACTCCTCGAATTCGCAGTTCCTACGCCGGTTTTGGCTCGAGAAATGCGAGGCGGTATACTTCGGATTACGCTGGACTGCACCGACTCCGAGTTCAGTTCGTCGATGCCGCCCTTGTGGACTATGTACTGCAACGGAAGGAAAGTCGGGTATGCGGTTAAACGCCGGCCTTCGAAAGCCGATACAGATGCTTTAAGACTGATGAGTTCGGTTGTGGTCGGGGCCGGAATGATTAGTGGGAAAGAACTCGAGAATGAAGATGATGAACTTATGTACTTGAGGGCTAACTTTCAGAGAATTCGTGGCTCAACTGATTCCGAATCTTTCCATTTGATTGATCCAGAAGGGAATGTTGGTCAAGAACTTAGTATATTCTTCTTCCGTTCTTGATCACCTCGTATTTGATTTCGAAATGATCGGATTGGTGTCCGGAAATAGGTTTTTTTTAGCAATGCCCCCCACTTTTTGAGCTGTGCTGATTAGCATGGCTTTAACAACGTGGTTAAAGAACCAGATTTCCATTGCTAAGATCACTAACTTTGCCTTATTTTTACCTTAATATTGTAATATTTTGATCGATCTCAATGTACACTTTTTCAAAGTGTTAATTGCATTTTATTTGACTAATAATTATAACGAAATTTAAGATATGATGATTAGATGCTGAAAGTATTAGTCATAATAATTTTATGTCTAATACTATCGGTTTAAATCATTATAAATATCGCTCAATCACGATTGATAAGAGATCTCTAATCTCCATAATCTTAGCAGACTTCTACCTTCTCCTTATTGTTTCCTCCTCACATGGGAAGACATCACATGACGATTGTTTAACTACCGACTACAATTCTTCATTAAAATTGAAAAAAAAATGAATTGTGAACAACTAATCAGCAAGTGGTGTTTACATCAAAGACAAGGAATTCGCATTCCCTCGGAGAGCACAACAACAGCAAAAGTTGTCCCCATAATCCAAAACAAACCCACCATTCGACATCTAACTGGTTTCAAACATTCAAATTTGGGTTAACAATAATGAAACTGTGTTCTAAAAACAGTAATCTGATATATTTACCTTCTCCCCATACACTTGTGAGTTAAGTTATAAAAGACTAAAAAAAATTCGTCCGAACCAAATGGATACTAAATCCATAAAATAATTCGAGTTTTTTCGTCTGAATAAATGTAAGATGCGAATATTTTAACAATACAGTATTGCATGAAATGGTTGAATATAAACCAGGCGAGTTCATTAAATGAAATGCCTTCATATGCATATATCATGAGAATTTGCTCAGTTCACAGTTCCATCACACCAATATGTATATCATTTAGCAGGAGCAAGAAAAATTCATCCCCTTTTATTATCTTCCAACTTGTTTTGTTCAGATTCTAACGAATTTTGAATTTAAGTTTATTTATAATATTTATATATATCTATATTAGGACGATGATGTTATTAATAATCGTATTGATTGTGGGGACTTAGTTCAAATGTTAGTGTGAGCTGGTTTTGATTCCTTGTGTCGTTTTAATAAAGAACTGGTCGCCGCCGGAGCGTGTGCAAATATTGTACTATGCACATGCAAGAAGGATCTATACTCAAATTATTTTCTTTACACGTACATACATATGAGATTCCTTTTTTTTTACGAGCCTGTTATTTGTTTTTTTGACATTACAATTTTGGGTCCATCAATCGATTTTAATGGCTAAAGAGAGTGATATTTTCCTTTGAAGTTATGAGTTCTATAAGTAACGTATGTAAGGTGTATGTAAGCGTTCATAACAATTTATTGAAATAATTTTAAACATATACTACCTTATAATCATCTCACGTTAATAAAAAAATTACAATTGAAAATGATATACTAGTTCATTATTGAGTCTTATGGCACACTTGTTATGCGGATGAAATACATTTAATGGGAAAAATCTTCAACAATATATAAATGACCTTTTTGGAAGTTATATTTTAATGACTGAGATCGCTTAATAGGTTAAAAAGGAATGCTTTTTAAGTGTAGTTTGGAAGCTGGAAAACGTATTAAATCATGCCTTCACGTTGCAATATTTCAGCGTCTGTTATTGCCGTTACTTTAGTTTTGGCAGTTAATTGATACGAGAAACTTACTGACAGCCGGCAACCTTGTGCTTAACTGTTACTTGTTTAGATTTTAAAATAATAATATAAAAACTTGTTTTTAATACAATACCGAAATCATCTAAACTTCAATTCGCCGCTCATAAATCAGAAAATAATTGTAAAGGAACAATGTTCTTGTTAAATTGTTTTATCCTTTTCCTATATGGAATCCGAAACTAAAACCCAAACCCAGTTGATGACTTTATTTTTGATACTAAGGCTAGGGCTGGGATAAGGGAAATGATCACGTGCGACAGTCTTAATATACGGTTAAAAAAGATGTTATTGATTTTGTTATTATTTAAATAATAAAATCGGTAAAAAATTACTGGAAACATTATTATTTCTACCGGTTTTGTTATTATTGAGCGTTTTACCGAATTTGGTAATATATATACGATAGAAAAATAATATTTTAGGGAGCGCTTTACCAGATATATTATCAAGCTCAGTTAAGCGTCTAATATTAATAAAATCGATAAAAATAATAATATTTTAAATAAATTTTTACCGATTTTATTATTTAAATAATAACAAAAACTGATAATATTTTTTTAACCATATATTAAAGATGCGCAGCGTAGAACTTTACGATAAGGGTTAGAGTCTTGGGCTATAAACTACTAAAAAACAATATAAGAATTGATTATTTAATCATTGCTTCTTTTTTAAATTTTAAATCACTCATGTTGAGCATATAATTATACTGAAGAATTCAACAGAAAAAAAAACCATAAAATTTAGAGCTATATTTAGGTACTTTCATTACCAGTCAATCATAAGACGTCAATGATAAAAAATATATTTATTCTAAAAATTAATATTACTTTTTAATTTATTGATAATATGTTTATAATTTTCTTAATTGAAGTAACCAGTCTTGTCAAAAAGTAAAAATATTCAAAATTATAATAATTGTTTACAACTATTATTTTAAACTAAATATAGAATTTAATTATTTTTCTATAACATTGAAACTAGCCATTTTAAATCATATAAGAATTATACATAGGAAAAGTTAAAAACTCAAGCAAAAGACTCGAACAAAAAATAGATATGAGCAAATCTGACTGCAATGACGAATGAACCACAAAAGGAGATTAAGCTAGTGAAAGACCACCGAGAACTGCAAATCATAGTCGAATGTCTTGAGAAACTATCCATGAATGCAAAAGCACGTATTCAAATTCAATTCGGTGGTCCATATCAGGGAAGATCATCAGGATTACAAATAAGCATCATCTTGTTAAGTTATGGCGTCGTGAAATCCAATCTTGAGAAAACATAAAATAAAAAAGAATATGATCAAACGATCGAGAAAAAAAGATGAAAAACGTGCTATAAAGTTAGATAAAAACGTGTCACAAAAGTATAAATATTCTTATTAAAAAACTAAAAAAGAAACAAAGAGAAAAGAGAATTGACGATTATTAGATTAAAATCCATAGTTATCAACACATATTTTTTAATGCATATTGTTATCGTAAAATTTAACATAAATTAAGTGACCAATAATGTTATAAAGTCATACGGTATTATAAGTATCATGAAAATAAAAATATAGATACTATTAAAGTTGTATTTATATTTTGATGAGGGACATAGTTATAAGTACATACAATAATTGATTCTTAAATCAGTTATATAAAGGGTTATGGTCCACAAGAAATAGATGATCTCGTATTTTCTCTTATCTCGTCTGAAAGTTTATACTCAAGAGAATTCTATCTTCTTGGAAGATCACAATCGAAGAAAAATTCAAGGATTTCAACATATCAATTAGTTTAGGTACGCTTCCGTATCTAGTATTTATTCTAGTGATTTAGCATAATTAGATCCTGATTAATTTTCATATTTATTATGGTTTGATTATAACAACGATATACAATCAACATCAAAACTGGTGTTGTCGTCGATTAAACAAAATCAAAGAAGAAAACTTTGATTTGATCTATAGAAAACGACACAACCTCTAAAGAATTATTTTAATTTAATCACTAATCTATTAATTTTTCAATTAAATCATTTAATTATCAAATGATATCAATTAAGCTATGTGTTATCATTGAATAAATATTTAACGGGATAGTTAAAAGAATTGTATAATTATACATTTGGTCTTCGACATTTACACATTTTATTGATTTACTTTTCTATTTAGTTTAATAAGTTTGGATACCTAAACAGAACAAAAGTAATAGTGTCTTTACTAAACGTGTAGTTTACCCTAAAAATATTGTAGAGATTTCATCATTCTCAAAATAGAATATAATAAGTTGTAAAGTCTTCTTTCTTCCAATATAAAATATTACAATACAACAATCAACTCCACAACAAAAGTAAACCCCTTATACTACAATTATCAAAGATTTACTGAAGTGATTCAAATGCAACTGAGTGTAATTTTTTAAAGGTAAGCAACTAAGCAATATTATATTTATTAATTGGAGTTGTTTAATCTTATATTTAATTTTAGTATATTTAGTACAATATCACTCGTGGATGCATTTCAAGATTTAAAGGAGTGATGTGTATATTATGATTATGTGATAGTTATGTCTTTGACACATTTTAAAATCGTGCATTTTTTATTATTTACTTTAATTTTATTTCTAATTTTTAACTTGTTGTTTCATATAAATGATAGGACTAATATGTATTTGTAATGTTATCATCTATATTTGTTTAAAAATGAATAAATAATTAAAATAAAATTATGTGTAAAATTTAAAATTGTAAAAAAAATCCGACCTGTGTTAAAATTAAGTTGTGGCTCCGTCTCTAGTGAGAGGGGTGGAAAAACCTCAACCGCTAAATCAAATATTTTTTTGGTTAAAAGTTGTTTTTTATTAAATAAAAGTTGTTTTATATATCAAATATATAAATTTATATACTACCAATATATCAAATATAAATATTAAAAATGATATTATATGTATCTTTTTAAAAGAACATCTTTACATGTTAGTATGTTTTTAGTTTTTCCACACCTAATGTCATTGAAATATATTTTCAATTTTCAACAAAGATGGCTCACAGAGGGTGCAGTCCTGAAAAGAGGGGGGGGGGGGGAATCAAAGAAAGGGGTCTTGACAGAGTTTGCCTTTGTATGAAAAACGATGAGCATTATTTGCCTTTCCATTTCAAAGGGACCCTACGTTAGATATAATAATAATATCATTTCCCTTTTTGCACTCTCTAACTCATAATTTGTATATTTACATCTTATCTATCTCTAATA